TTCAGCATTCGACTTGGAAAACAATGCGTTATTCTTATTTTACAGGAATGAGGAGTGGAAGTCTAGACCTGCTGATGCATCATGATCATTTAAGGATTTATTTGTTTTTATACAGTGTATTTTTTTTTATTATTTTTATGTTGTCCATTCTAACTTGTTTACAAACATCAGGAAAACGAAATATAGACATGTGTCTTATGAAATTGTTATATTTTCACCATTTCTCCTACCCCTACTTCTGTGTTGGCCTTTAATTTAGAGTCAGTTTAGCTGTTGGGCCTTGTTTCACTCTCACTTTCTATAGAACTGACATTAGATCATCATCCTCTTTTCTGGCTCGTGGTCCAGCAACCCCCCACTCCACTTTCTCTTCAAAAAAAGCGAGTCATAACTGTGCTGAATAATTGAAGGGGGAGAAATTGAGCGGTTCTAGGGTTTCCACCGCTTATTGTTCCAGGCCTAGTCTCTCAATGGCTGCAAAAAGTGAACTCGTCATGCTCATTACTCAGCACCGGCCGACCATGGATTGGCCGGGGTATGGTCCATTTGTCCTACACACACACACACACATGTGCACGGCCTCATCTTCTTTACACACACACACACACACACACACACCGGAGAGGACGATGCCGAGAGAGAAACTCATCGCGTCTGAGAGTGATGGTAAGAAGTCCTTATTTTTCTTGTTACCTTGAGCTTGTTTGTTTTTCTGCTTTTCTCTATTAATGTATGGATAGTTAAAGTCTGATTCACTAATTAATTCTAAATATTAGTGTATGTGTATGATGTGAGTATGAATGGACAACGTTTTACTGTGGGGAAAAAATGCCTTTTAAAAAATTGCCATTATTATTTTATTTCATAAACACAAAAAAACATCATTATCAGGCCCGTGCACAGAGGCTGGGGGAAAAATGGACAACCTTTTTTAACCAATTTACAGGATAATGCAGAACCTCTTATTCAAAGAGACAGACATGTTTCAGAGGTAACTTTAGTTGCTTAAAACCTACAAGAAACTAAATTGCACTTGAGTTGCACAACATAGTGTCTTGCAACTCACTTGAAAAGTGCAACAGTTGCAAGTGTCTCAACTTCGCGAAGTTTCATAAAAGAGCTGACCAAAACGGCAATAATACATCATATGATCATGTCGAACGACATACATTCAAATGATTTTCACAGGATCAATGGTCAAAAAATTAAGCAGAAGATGATTCACTGGACAGTTGAAAAGGAGATCCCCGACTGACTCAAACTTGAGCTGCTCAAAGCTAATCTTGCCAGCTGGTTTATTTAGCCAGCTAGCGCTCATTTTCAAAGGCTTAAGATACGCACAACAGATAAAAAACTCAAATATATAGTGAAGAACCACAGATAGATGATAGATGGTAAAAATGCTGCAAGTATGTAAATTCACCTTGTATGTTACAGCAATAACAATACAATGTTTAAAAAATACGAGCTAATAATTTAGCTCTCTAGTGAAGTAACTAAATGTGTTGCATGCAACTTTGTTTTAATTTGCTTCATGTATCTATCAAGTTGCATAGAAATTAGGTTGCAGGCAACGCACAACATGCAACTAGTTGAATAAAAGTTTCACCATGTAAAGCCAGCCTTAGATGTCTTTCCCAAAATGACCTAACATGCTGGCAAAATCCGCAGGGAACTAAACCACATTATTGGGCTCACCATATATTTTCTAGACATATGTCTTTACAAATATGTTTAAGAGGCCCAACATGCCTCGCAAAACTTTGTTCAAGATCCATTTCAGTTTAGAAAATCTTGCTAAATAACGTCTTTTAGTTATTAACGCCCCTTCCTACCAACGTTATGTTTAACTGATGTTCAAAATGAGCATTAGATAAGTAAGCATGAGTTAGATGGTAATTCCACAAAGCTTTCAAAATATATACATAAATCAGTGTTTGAGATGTAAACAAATTTATTTAGGGTGGTTTGGTGTGAAATTCATTGCAGTGAGTCTCAGATTTCTTTACAGTGGTGGTGATAGGAACCAGGGGTCACCATGACACAAATATAGCTATTTTATTTACTATCCTAAACCACCAGTGAACCTACACATTTTTTTATATGTAATGTTGATGAAGGTAAAATACTGGTAAATCTGAAAAACTAAGTTATCTTTGGGGACTATTTTGCCTCACAACACCCTGCATGTACCCCTCCACCATGAATCGCTTTTTAAAAACATGTCTTTGGCCACAACTTTACTGTAAAACTATCGTAAAACAATGTCTCAGCCATGAGCCAGACGTCTGGTTCCTATCACCACCACTGTAAACAACTCTGACTCTAAGTTTTTCTAAAAAAGAGCACACTGTAAATGACTGCGCTTACATGTTATCTATTTAATTATGCAGACATTTTGATAAATCTATGGAATTCCCAGTTTAACCGTGTCTCACAGAAACTGATCTTCAAGGCCCGGCAACAGAAATTCATTTCATAGGGAGATGCCCCACCAACCAGTCATCATGCTCCACTAAACCTTCTTTTTGTGCATGCCTGTATAGCGACAGGCAGCATAAACAAAGTGAACCTAATCTTAACATATGCTGCTACTACGTGTGCCTGATATAAAATGCACTGTATGTTGCTCATAGCAAACTGCCAGAACAGGCAGATGCATAATATAATAACTTAAATTATACTGACTACTGTTTAAAAGTTTGGAATCACTTGTCACATTACTAACTGCTGTTATTAACAGTATAATAATTCACCATATTCAAATAATAATGATAATAATATATTCAAAATTTTCCTCACAAGTGTTTGGCTCCGGTTTAGGTTTAGGTTTGATTGATACTACATTTAACTTAAGGACAAGGTGAGCATCTACAAAGCATCTACAGTGGACCTGGGGGTCACCACTGACTCTTTCTCGGTGCACCTGGCCACAACATGAGTGGCCACTTGGAGAAAGCTGTTTGAATGGACACTTAATCAATTGCATTAAATCAGATTTTCTCAGAATTCATTAACTATACCCCCTGACTACTGATGTGATGGTGTGGTGACTAAAGACCCTCCAAAAAAGTCTGGTGGTGACCATAGTGGTCTCCCCTGCTGAGCTGGTCTGACTGGCATCAACAATGCTGTTCTATTGGCTGACGTTTGCTTATATTCCGTGTTATAAGGTTTCAGATAAAATAAGGTGTTAAATAAGTTAAATAAGAGGCCGTCACTGCGGCATCTAAACAGTACCTAATGAAATAACCTAGATTGGATGAGGTCAGGGCGAACCAGATCGGCAGGGGGACCATCTGTCTGACTATCCCTGAATGGACCATCAAAATAAGGGGTTATCTTTGGGAACAACAAGAAGCTATTAAATGATAAATACTATACTGTTATATATTTTTTCTTAGTCATTTCTTGATAAGTTCGGCTTCAAGTTTTGTTTAAAACGTGTTAAAAAACAGACATTATGGATTATGGACTTCATTTTGGACGCATTTTTCTTCTGCAGCTCCGTTCCCTTTAAAATTTCCTCATTTTTCCCAGCTTTGGTGGATTTCTAGAGTAGCATCATCATTTTAGATCATCTTATCCATTTAAACTGGGTTTATAGTACTACATATAGTGGTGCTATGGAACACGATCAAACGAGAGACGCTTGACTCTCCTTGCCCTTTGACCCTCGGTCAGGCCGCTGTCTGGTCAAGCAGGTGCAACAGTGCAGAGAGTTTGGCTCATTGAAGCTGCTGTGTGCCTGCTGTCCGACACTAGTATGCTTGTAATGACCTCCGCAGCACACAGAGGTCAGGTTACAGTGGACACAAAGAATCCAGCAGTGCAGCTGAACTGAATAGAGCCTATTTAACTCAGCCTTCTCAGGAATTTAGATTAAATTACACTAAAAAGTATGAGAATCTTTACAATTGTGTACCTGAGCTCTATCATTATCTATTGGAAGCATTATTCTACAGTCAATTAAAGAGATAGTTTGGCAAAAATTTACACCATTGTCGATCGGCCAAAACATGTTTGTTGCCTGAAGTTTGCTTCTTTAGTTTTGTATTACGAAGTGAATGTAGCTAACATGCAATGAAAGCAATGAAAGTGATACCCCACCAATTAGCACTGTACAAAGGGCATGCCTAAATCATCACACACTCGCCTCAAACTGTGGTGTGTTGTTTAGCATTGTTGAATAAATTTGCTTATCTGGTTGTTGGACACTGTAGGACACACTGTTATCTTTAAAAGTGAACAAAAGGTATATTTGCATACACTGTAAAAAAATCTATGAAAGAAACAGTAAAAATAGTGGCAGCAAGGGTGCCAGAAAAAACTCGTTCGTTTTCTTAATTATGGTAAAATACTGTAAAATTACATATTTAAAATATTTCTTAGAATTACAGCTTTTTTACTGTAATTTAACAGTTTCACAACAATATTTAACCATAATTATAACAGTAACAACCAAACGCAAATGTCTGTGAGATAAAGTTGATAATTTATTTTTTTCTTAATCTACATTTTGTTTCCTGTAAATTAACAGGTGTTACATGTTTTGTTTTTACTTCGGAGTAATCCAGCACCAATAGTTTACCAAGCTGTTGTGTAATCACTTTACAGCATCACGTTTGACCTGCTAAACTATCACTTTAATATGAGTTGGTGACCACAGGATATTGTTTGTGTGGCCACTTCACCAGTTTTTTCACTTCAGTATGTTTAACTGCTGTTTTCATTTTGTCTTTACAGTCAGCATCGAGGTGGATGATGGTAAGTCATAATATTATTTAAAGCTGCTCTGTAATATATTCATATATTGTACATTCCAAATGGTATATTGATAAATCATTATTGGAGAATCTCTTGTCGATCGACCTTGCTGGTGTTTCTTAGAGACTATAGATTATAAAGTGGTCAGTCATGGGAAGTACAAGGTGGGTGTTTCAAATAAAGTGGCCAGTTAGTGGAAGCACAAGGTGGGCATTTCCAATAAGTGGCCAGTGAGTGGAAGTCACAAGGCGGGTGTTTTCAATAAATTGTCCAGTGTGTGGAAGTACAAGGTGGGTGTTTCTAATAAAGTGGCCAGTTAGTGGAAGTACAAGATGGGTGTTAATAATAAAGTGACCATTGCATGGACATACAATAAATATATACATGTGAACCAAGTTTCTGTTTGGAAACATTTCTGCAGGAAACGAAGGTGAATTCAACCTGTACTACGTTGGAATGGATGCGGATTCTGATGGAGGAGAACAAGAAATGGAGAGAGAGAAGAAAAAGAGGAGAGAGAGAAAGGCTGAGAAAGGAGGAGCCAAACGGAACAGAAGAAGGTCAGAGGAGAGAAACGGCACTGCAGACAATGAGAGAAGAGGAAGGCTAAAGGATGGACGAAGGAGAAAGAGAGAAGGAGAGACAGAGGAGGTCACGAAAGAGAGAAAGAACAGTAAGAATGAGAGAGCAAAGAAAGCGCATCAAGAAGAAGAGGAGGAGGTAGTGGAGGTAGAGGAGGAAGAAGAGAAGAAGAAAAATAAACAGATCAAGAAAATGGAGGACAGAGAGAGGAACGGAAAGAAATTAAAGAGAGAAGAGGACAAAAAAGCAAAAGAGAGAAAGAAAAAGAAAGAGAAGACAACAGAAAGCAGGTAAGCTGTGTCAAACACACTAACGTATTGTCATAGTAATAATTGTTCTCATTTTATTTCATAATTTTTAATACATTTCATTGATACAGTGTAGACTGCAATATTACAATCACCACTAGATGTTTTATTTATTTTTTTCTATTTATGTTTTTTTTTGGGGGGGGGGCAATATGAAGTTATTAAATGATACAAATATGCAGTAATTATTTATTAACGATCATTTTTGTGAAGTTATCTGTCTTGAGATTTAATGATTTAATGTTTTCTGAAGGTATTCTGAATATTACATTTATTAGAACTTCATCCTGAATATTCATTTTATAACAGCAAATTTGACTGAAACTTTATTCATTTTTTAGAACTTCCATTTGGATGTTCTTTTGATTATAATTTAATTCTGTATATTCATTTTTTTAAATATTCTGGATTTTAATTTTATTAGATCGTCTTTCTCAATATTCATTTTGTAAATACATCAGAATAGAATAGTTCCATTCTATTTATTAATATAACTGTTGTTCTGGATGTTAACTTTTTCAGAACTTTGTTATGGATATTAATTTTATCAGAACTTCTTTCTGGATATTATTTTTTTATTAGAAATTCATTCTGGCTATTCATTTTAATACATTTTTGTTCTGGATATTCATTTTTCTAGAAATTCACTCTGAATAATAATTTTATTAAGACATAATTCTGGATATTAATTTTTATCTATCTATCATTCTGTTTTCATTCTATGTGTTAATTTAATTATAATTTTATTCTGCATGTAAATGTTATTTAAACTTAATTCTGGGGATTCGTTTTATTATAATTTAATTCTTTATATATTTAAAAAGTAATTATGGATATTATAACAGATTTTTCATTTTAATATGAATTCATTCTTCATATTATTTTTCATTAGAATACATTCTGGTGTTGATTGTAATGTTGATTGTATCATAATTTAATTCTAGACATACATTTCATTAGAACTTCGTTCTGGATATTAATTTTTAGAATATTATAATATCATTCTGGACATAAATATATGAAAATTTCAAACTGGATATCCATTTTATTAAAACTTCATTTTGGATATTAATTTCATTCAAATTTCATCATGAATAATAATGTTATCAGATTTCATTATAAATTTTCATCCTGTTAGAACTTCATGCTGAATATTAATTTGATAACTGGACAATATAATATCATTTTCAGTGTTACGCTGTTTTCTCATTCATCTGATTGGTGGCTTTTCTAGCTCTGAGTCTGAGACATGCTCTTCATCAGAGGAGGAGGAGGAGAAGGAGGAGGGTGAGGAGGAGCAGGGTGGTGATGAAGAGTTTGTGGTGGGCTCTCTGAGTCCGGAGGAGCTGGAGAAGCTGAAGGAGGCGGTGGACGAGAGAAAAAAACTCATCACCACACTGAGAGGAAAACCCTGGCCCATGCGCAAGAAACTGCCCACTCTCAGGTAACACACATACACACACCCACATGGTTTCCATGGCCAAGCAGCTGCACATGGGCCTAACATCACTATAGACATTGCCAAACATTGGCCTCCAACTCCGTGGCAACAGTTTAAGAAAGGCCCCTTCCAGCTCCAGCATGACTGAGCCCCTGTGCACCGAGCGAGGTCCATAAAGACGGTTTGACCAGTTTGGTGTGGAGGAACTCCAGAGCCCTGACCTCAACCCCACCCCATTAGCCAGACCTTCACATCCAACATCAGTGCCCGACCTCACAAATGCTCTTTTGACTGAATGGGCTCAAATCACCACAGACGCAAAATCTTGTGGAAAGCCTTCCCAAAAGAATGGAGACTGTTGTAGCAACAAAGTGGAGGAACTCCATGATAAAGGCCAATGGTTTTAGAATAGGATGTCCAAGAAGCTCATATAGGTGTGATGGTCAGGTGTCCACATACTTTTGGCCACATAGTTGATGTAGTATTATGTATATGTAAGTATCTACATGTCACAATAATATATATATATTCAGCTCTCACCACTTACACCTCCTTCTTCCTCCATCTCGGTCTTAGGGAGTCGCAGTTGTTCGTAGAGAAGTATGAGGGGGCTTTGGGGAAAGGCCGAGGGAGGAAGCTCTACGCCTACAAGGTCATGATGAGGAAGGTAAGAGTTCCCAACCTGAGGAACTTGTGCCACTGTCATCAGAAAACCTTGTTCATAGACTGTTTGTCATCTTCTAGTGCTAAAACTCGAAAAATTAGCACTAGTTAAAATGCAGCAGAAGTGTAGGTTTACTAGAAAACAAGTAAAATTCAGAAAATGCTTTAGCAAGAACTATATTTTACTTACTTTTTAGTTATTCATCTCTCAGAAAGGATACTTAAAGCTGAAAGTTTCACTGGCTACCTTAACTAGAGCTAGCCTATTAGCTTAGTTCACATTTGCTAAGTTAGCTAGCTAACAGGTACTCACAGTTGATAATAACAGATGTAAGTCACAGTTTTTAGGTTTAGCTAAAGAGCTAGCATGCTTGTTGTTCTAAAACAACATAAAAATGAGATAATTACAGACCACTGTAGCCATTTACCTCAGATAGTTAGCCATGCTAGTTACCTTACTAGCTTCTTCTAGCATCTTGCTAACTTATACTAGTAAAATGACTAAATTATACTCTTAAAGTGATAGTATTCTCGAGTACTGGGTAGTGGATACTTCTGGTAAGATATCAAATCTTGTGTATTTATTTCTTAAAGTGAAGTTTTTGTTAAGATATCACTTTCTAAAGCTGTCCTTTGTTGTCTCGCGTCTGCAATGCTGCTGTGTGCTTCAGAAATGGATGAAGTTTCAGAGAGACTTTGAGAACTTCAAGACGGCCTGCATCCCATGGGAGATGAAGATTAAGGAGATTGAAAGTATGTTTAAATTTGCATTTCTTAACATCTCTAACGGTCAGATTTTTCGGAAATTATTTTTCCTTTGCTTATATTTTTTATTCTTTAGGCTTGTAGCTTAGTTACTCACACATGTCTAGCAGGCTGACGATTGAAGAGAGCACTATTAGCACTCAAGCAGATTTTTCCCTGATAGCAAGAGGATAGTGGACCACTGTTGGCCCGCTAATGGCAAAGCCAGCGGTCCACTGACGTTTTGCTCAGTGTTTTCTGGGCGGCCCACCAGTGGATAAGCAGAGTAATAGACAAAATTCCATATATCATCGCTCATTTTCCACTCACAGTCTAATTTACTTATTTTTCCTTCCTTCCCTTCTTTAGTTAGGCTTCGTAAATTAGTTGAGTAAAGAATTTTAATCTAGTACAATGTCAGCAACACACAGCAACAACACTATAAAATCATTTGACATTAGGCCATCATTTTTTTTACCTCTCAGTTGTTATAATATTTATCTGAGTTTATTTTCTGAAATGAAAGGACTATGTCCATTTAAAATCTGTTTGAAGAGATTAAAAACTAGGTAGAACTTGCTATGCAGGACAATAATCTGGGTGGACCAGCAGTGGCAAATGAGAATTTGCATCCTTGACCAGTAGTGCTACTGCTGTGGCCGCATTCACCAAAAAGGCCAATGGATGGTTTGCATAGCATAGTGTTACATAAGTCACGTAGCATCGCACGCAGATACAGTACAAAGCACTGCTATACTACATAGAATGCACCGCAGTAAGAGAACCAGAAAACGTCAAGTACAAGTTCACTTTTAAACTCTAATCGTTTAAACTTGTTGTTTTCGAGGTGAAAAATAACTAGGCTAGTTATGTTAGGTAAGGTAAACGTAGTAGCAGCAGTTGCATATGTATCTGAAGTGGCTGTGTTTCTCTGTGGAGTTTTAAGCCACTTGTAATCTACAGTGGCTTTTCTGTGCTCTCGATACGACTTTACTTTGAAGCAGTACTGGCAAAATGTTGAGTGGCGCGCTGTGACATGCGGACAAATTGAACAGTGCTCGTTTCTTTGATTTTATTGAAATAATTCACAGTCCAGTCCATAATTATTTGGATGTTGACAAAGTTATTGTTATTTTATGTGCCTACCACAGCATACTGGAGTTTAAATTAAAGAATGAATATCAGACTTTCAGCTTTAAGTGTATCTACATCCAAATTGGGTGAACGGTGTAGGAATTACATGCTTTTACAGATTCGGTGGTATGCTTTGGAAAATGAGCAGTTCCTTCTGTTCTTGATTTCCTTCTCTTCCCATCATTCTGGTACAATCTCAAGTACAATTGCCTCATCTGTCCTTAAGATGTTGTTCCAGACCTGTCTTTTTTTAGATGTTTTTTTGGTAAACTCTAATCTGGTCTTCTTGTTTTTGAGGCTTACCAGTGGTTTACATCTTGTGGTAAACCCTCTGTGAAGTCTTCTCTTGATTGTTGACTTGTTGCTTATCCCTGTTCCTGATCTGGTCAACTGATGTGTACACCTTCATCTGATCTGGATGTAAATAGGCTCAAATTAAAGCTGAAAGTATGCACTTTAACAAGTCTAATATGATGTGGTAGACACCCAAAATAACAATAACGTGGTTGGCATCCAAATATTTATGGACCTGACTGTATTTGAGCAGTTAACTGCTTGTTACCACATAAAGTAAGCCTATGCTGAAAAAGTAATACAATGAATTTGCTTGATTCAAATGTGTAACATAATTTCCACATAAATAAAACTCAATTATTGGCTAAGTAAGTACGTTTATATAAAACATTTCTTTAAATTACAGTGCATATTTTCAGCTATTCTACATCTTTTTCAGGCCTGGCTGATTTCCATGCATTTTTCATCCTCTGTCTGAAATATTCAGGTCATTTTGGATCGTCAGTCGCCTCCTACTTCCTATTTCTCAGATGGATGTACGGCATCAACATGATTCTCTTCGGCCTGACGTTCGGGCTCGTCATGGTTCCTGAGGTGAGGAACGTTCCGGATCCAGCACCTGCCATTTGAAATCCTGCATTAACATGCGATGGGGGGAGCCGGCACACCTAACAGGCATAAGGGCAGTTGAAAGTGAGGCCGTCTCAAAAGCCTTTCAGCTGAAACTGGGCCATTGCTGGGGTCTGGGGAGCTTTCTTCACTGACCTACATGTCAAAAGCCAAAAGCAGTACAAGGCAAATATATAACAGAATAATTCACTTAAAATGCATTTATGTAATTTGATCTGATTGTGAATCTTATGCTCAGAATCTGATCAATGGAGCAGTGTGTGGAGAATAGTTTGCAATATTTATTAGTGGTTTAACAACTGAGGGTGGAGGGACTCTTTTGTTTTAGTTTGGATTTTATAGGGGCCAAAGCATGAAAACAAAGTAAGTTTTGGTTTTTTAGCCACTCAAAAAGCTTTTTTCTTTGCTATCAGTGACAGAGAATTGATGAAACTGTGAAAGTATGATTTTTCAAAAGGTCTAACTTCTCTACCGCTCTACTTGGCTGTCCAGTGAGCCAACATAAGATACAAGAGTCTCTAAGTGAGTCACCAACTGACTGACTGACACCAATTTTAAAATGTGCAAGCGTTCTCCGAGACAAGCAGCAGATGGCGCTCTACACTTTTAAATGTCACCCTCACACCCTCCCAATGCTAACAATGTAAGGCTAACAAATACTGTGCCATGAAATAGTGTTTGCCCCCTCTTTATTTCCTCTACTTTTGCATGTTTGTCACACTAAATGTTTTACGATCTTCACACAAAATTTAAAAAAAGACAAGGAGAATGTGACAAAACACAGAACAGTCTTTAAATATTAATTTCATATATTGATGGAAAAATGTTCAGTAACAGCTAAGTTACCTGTGTGAAAAAGTAATTGCCCCCTCGACATTAATAAATGGTTGTACAACCGTCAACAGCAATAACTGCAACCAAACACTTCCAACAACTGGAGATGCATCCTTCACATCGCTGTGGAGGAACTCTGGCCCACTTGTCTTTGCAGAATTGCTTTTCTTTCAGCCACACTGAAGGGCTTTCCAGCATGAACTGCCTCCTTCCACAGCATCTCAATAGAGGTCAAGCCAGGACTTTGACTACAAAACTTTAATTCTGTTTCTTCTGAGCCATTCAGAGATGGACTTGATCTTGTGTTCAGGTCATTGTCTTGCTGCATAACTCAACTGTGCCTGAGCTTAAGATCCATGAACGCTGATTTTGAGGCGAGTGAGGCCTTTAGCCCTTGCTGTGCTCTTGGAGCAATTTTGGTAGGCTGGCCACTTCTGGGAAAATTCACCACTGTTTCCACAAAGTTCACTGGAGTCCCAGAACATTAGAAATGGCTTTGTAAGCCTTTCAATAACTTTCTTTCTCTTCTCTTCTGGAATTTCTTTTGATTGTGGCATAGTGTGCTGCTTGTTGAAACCTTTTAGTCTACTTCACATTGCTGAAAACGTTCAATTTAAGTGATGTTCACATTCAGCAGGGCTGGCAGTAATCACACCTGGGTGTGTCTAGTTTAATGGCTCCCAATCATCCACTAAATTTGCAGAACATTGAACTAATAATGGGTAAAATAACACAGTGGAAAGTACCTCTATTTGAGCTTGAGCTGTGTCTGACTTTGGGTGTATTTTTCCTTTATTTTACTGTATGAGCAGCCTTATTCAAGTTCTTTACTGTTCCAGGTGAACGTCATCATGCTTGAAAGTCATAGTTAATGACCAAAGTGCACCACAGTGTAAAATGGGGTACTTTTTTGATGGTCATCTGTTTTGTAGAATTACTTCTTAAAAGAATTTGTTACATTAGCCAGCCCCAAAGCCATAATGCTAACACTATTAGCAGGTAGGCTGGCAGCTACAGAATGAGTAGTATTTGCTCATTTTGCTATGAGGACTTTGATTCATGTCACTACAAACTAGTATTAGCTGCTAAGAAATGTTTGACTGCTTTATGTACTTTATTATTTGCATAAAATGAACACAAACTTTTGAACTTTTGTCTATGATTGTTGGTGTATGAACTTTACTCTTTAACTGGACAATGGTTCTCTCTGTGCAGGCACTAATGGGGCGGCCATATGGGAGCATTCCCAGGAAGACTGTCCCAAGACTAGAACAGGCCAGTGCCATGGATTTTGCTGTTTTATGGGACTTTGGGGTGAGTGGCTTCTGGGATTTGGATTAATAGACAAAGTATGTATTGTTTTTCTAATAACTGTATTTCTAATCAGTGTATAGCTTCACTGTAGGTCAGAACATTTTGTATTTCTTAATGTTAGTTTTCTAATCTTAAAATTCATTTGTAATTTCTCCCTTGCAGGGTTATGCTAAGTATTCAGTCCTCTTCTATGGCTACTACAACAACCAGCGAGCTATCGGCTGGCTCAAGTTCCGCATGCCCTTGTCCTACTTCTTGGTCGGGGTGGGCACGGTGGCTTACAGTTACATGGTGGTCATCAGAACGTGAGTTATTTTTGAGTCTTGTATCCAAATATACAGTACAGTGCAGAAGTCAGAGACCCCCCCCTGACGGTTCATATTTTCTCTACAGCATGGCACGCAATGCCAAAGAGGATGGTGGAGGAGATGACACCAGCTTCAATTTCAGCTGGAAAATATTCACCAGTTGGGATTACCTGATTGGTAATGCAGAGACAGCTGACAACAAGTTTGCCTCCATCACCACCAGCTTCAAAGTGAGGATATTTTTGTGTTTAAAGGTTATGTGACTGTGTAGAGTATGAGTATAGACACTATATGGCGAAAAAGTATGGGGACACCACTCCTACTCATTGAGTTCAAGTGTTTCAGTCATACCCATTGCTAACAGGTGTACGAAATCAAGCACACAGTCATGCAACCTCCATAGAAAAACATGGGGTTGTACTGAAGAGCTCAGTGACTTTAAATGTGGCACTGTTATAGCTTAGTTTGCTGTGCTAGATCACGAAGCAGCAGACTGCACAAACAGCCTCTGGAAGTAACATTAGCAAAAGAACTGTGCTTTGGGAGCTTCGTGAAATGGGTTTCCATGGCCAAGCAGATGCACACAAGCCTAAGATCACTATGCTCAATGCCAGTTGTCAGCTAGAGTGGTGTAAAGCACAAATAAATCTGGGTTTGGTGGATGCCAGGAGAACACTACCGACAGGAATGCATAGTGCAACAGCAAAGATTGGTGGAGGGGGATAATGGGTCAGGGTTCGGGCCCCTTAGTTACGGTGAAGGGTGGTGTTAATGCTACAGCATACAAAGATATTTAAAATAATTATACTTCCAACTTTGTGGCAGTTTGGGGAAGGCTTTTTCCTGTTCCAGCATGACTGTGCCCCTGTGCACAAGGCAAGCTCCATAAAGAAATGGTTTGATGAATTAAGTGTGGCAGAACTCCAGTGGCCTGTACAGAGCCCTGACCTTAACCCCACTGAACTCTTTTGGGATGAATTAGAATGTCGAATGTGAGCCAGACCTTCTTGTCCAACAATGTTCTTTTAACTCATTTCCCAAACCTTAAAAAAGCCACAAATTGCATGTGGGAAGGAATGGGATGTCCAACAAGCTCAGACAGGTGTGATGGTCCGGTGTCCACATACTTTTCGCCATATCGTGTATGTCTCTTGCTCTCATTTCAAACGTTACTCATCATCAGGAGGCCATCGTTGAGGAGCAGGAAAGCAGAAAAGATGACAACATCCACCTGACGCGATTCCTCCGGGTTTTGGCCAACTTCTTGGTTCTGTGCTGCCTGGCAGGGAGTGGGTACCTGATCTATTTCGTGGTGCGCCGCTCTCAGAAGTTTGCCCTGGAGGGGCTGGACAACTATGGCTGGTGGGAGAGAAATGAAGTAAATTAGTGTCCTCTATGTCCAACTTGGTGTGCAATGCAACCACAATTATTGAAAATATGGGACATTTTATTCTAATCATGATCTTCCAGGTGAACATGGTCATGTCTTTGTTGGGGATGTTTTGTCCAATGCTATTTGACGTCATCAGTACTCTGGAGAATTATCACCCCCGAATTGCCCTGCAGTGGCAGCTGGGCCGCATCTTCGCCCTCTTCCTGGGCAACCTTTACACCTTCATCATAGCCCTCATGGACCAGATCAACCTAAAGGTGAGCACTTCAAAACATGCTTTACAGCCTTTAAAACCAGTAGTGCCCAATCCTACTCTTGGAGATCCACCATTCTACCAAGTTTGGCTTCAAATCTAATCTAACAACCTGATCAAGGTAATGAATGAAGGCCTTCAGATGGACCTGAATATTGGATCTAAACTCTCCAGGGTGGTAGATCTCCAGGACCAGGATTGACCAGTTTTTCTGTTCTACTGTGGTTGAGACACTGACCACATTTTTTCAAATTACAAAGTTATGCACTCTAAGCGTTGGCGCTGTCATCAGGAGATTGCAAGTTTAATCCACAGCAATGACGCTGCCATCTGTAGTCAAGAATTTAATAGACCAGAATAGTCCTAGCTTTTTCTGGGTGGGTATGACGGTCATCCCATTCCCCTCATCTCTCAGCGCAATGCCAGCCAACATTGGCATCTTGTTAGCTGACATTACAGAATTGGCAAGTAGTGTTCTCCTGCAAGCGTGTTGAACTGTTTAATGACATTGTGCTGCCACTAATTTGAAAAGATGCAGTGGAGACACATACTAGCCTTTAGCCTCCCTGCTTGCTAGCATTATGTGGTTTGAGAAGGCGAGAAGCAAGCAGGTAGACTTGGGGATAAAATTGGATAAAAAAGAAAAAATAAATTATTATGACAAGCCATATAATCAGATACTACCTGTGTAAGTTTTACTTGTGTAACTTAAAGTTTCTCCTAATGACACAAATGTTAGCAATTAGTTGAGATGTCTGAAAATCTGCACAATATCTCTAGCCAGTCATATATATTATTTTGTTCGTTTGTTTGTGTTTCCCAGAGGGCAGAAGAGGAGAAAGTGAAGTTTAACATGACCATATGGCAGGCCAACCTGTATAACGGAACCCTACCAGAAAACTCCACCGCACTTCCAATCACGGTGGACCCTGCAGACGTGCCTAGAGGACCTTGCTGGGAGACGATGGTGGGACAGGTACTCATCAGACATTGCTTAGCATCAAGTTGTGTTCTTAAAGCAATAGCTGACCCAACAGCCAACTGATACAGTTTTGCCTTTAGCCGAAACAAGATTCACATCCAAAGTTACTTCTTTAGTTTTGCACAAGAGCTAAAATAGCTGGAAAATAGCCTAGTGTAGCTCAACTTTTAAAACTCCAAGCAGTTTCTTCCAGGGCTTTCCAGCTCTAGACCCCTCTAACCATTTTTAAAGAGTCTATGACCTGATATCCTGCACTAGAAAGTACACTATTTGCTACAAGGCTAACGTAGCAATAGTGGAAGCTTATACCCCACCAGTTAGCATCAAACTTCATGCCTTGGTCAATACACACTTTGCTCAAACCATGTAGAGTTTTTAAGTAGCCTCAAATAAACTTGCTTAGGTGGTTTCTGAAACTGTATGATCTATAAAAATTGACAAAAATATGTTGGTACAGCTAAAAACAGTAGTAGCAGAGGTTTGGGTGTTAGGTTAGCTGTGGTACCTCCATTTCTAAGACACTCAGTGCAGTGCCAGTAGGACAGTACTAGATGTTGGCACAAGCAATGACTTTTTTCAGTGGGTACTTGTTGCAGCTGTTCTTATCTCACAGGAGTTTGTCCGCCTGATAATATCAGACACCATGACCACCTACATCACCCTGCTGATTGGTGACTTCCTCAGAGCCGTCCTGGTGCGTTTCCTCAACCACTGCTGGTGCTGGGATCTTGAGTATGGCTTTGTGAGTATTCACACCCCAGCGTTAGCAAAACATCTAGAGTCCAGTCTGGTGTTCTTACTGCTTGAACGCAGCTACTAAATCTGGTAATTAACCAGTGAGTTACATCATGTTTATGCAAGAAAATCAAACTGTTGATGCCGCAATTCTGTTTCATCTCAGCTGCTTGACTCACCAGTGGGCAACAAGTCTTAGACAACTTGCTACTGAAACACTAATGACTTCCAAATTCTAGCTGTCTTATGGTCAGAGGTGGGAACGGCGAGTGTATAGGACACACGTATGAGAGGAATATCTTGAGAAATTCCACAAAGCTGAAGTTGGCTTCTTATTTGAATTGCCGGTTCCACCTTAAATGATAAAGCAGTTGCATTCAGCTGCTTGTACAAGTGCCAGAATGTAACTCCTTCTCCATTTAAGGCGGAATGGAAAATAAGAACAAAAAGCTGCCAAATAAGAACCCAAGTGAAGTAGAAATTAAGGCGGAAAACATTTTGCCGGGCTTGCTGAGCTGGTGTTAGAAAGCAATATTGACACAGGTTTATCTACATATTGCTCAGTTTTATTTGGACTATTTTGCATATTAAAAATATTTCAGATTCCCTTTGGTGGTTAAGAATGTTTCTTCTTGAAAAAAATAAAGGGACATACCAGAATCATAAACCACTGTTAACCTACTGTAGTTATCAGTCTTACACATCAATTGATCATGCTAATTTGTCTTTTGAGGAACTGCCTTTTTGACCCAAATATCAGTAAGAAGTGCAGAGCTACCAAGCTGAATTGCTCTGACTTGATTTAGTTGTGGTAACATTTACAGGTAAATTATATTATGGCAACTGAAATTTGCTTCATAGTGTAGGTTACCTCAATAGAAATATACCAGTTGGATAATTTAATTGTGTTCCTTTCTAGACGTTCTTTAGTTGGGGAAGACTGCAAAGTAGCTGATCATCCCTGGAACTGGTATAAATGCTAGTAATGTGAATTCTATGTCAGTGTAACTCTGTTTCTTATTTGTCCTGCTTTAGCCTTCCTATTCGGAGTTTGATGTGAGTGGGAATGTACTTGGCCTCATATTCAACCAGGGCATGATCTGGTAGGATGAATTTGTTCTTTATTTTATTTCATCTATGGGTAAACATTACATTACCTGCTCCAATTTTCTCCAAAGTATATATTTTTGTTATTTAATATACTTCCATTGCATATCCACTTCAAATGTACACGCATACTGTCTTTGGACTTTGCACTCATAAATACGAACCAAAAAATGATCTACTCATAAGAATAAACTATGAGACTATAAACTATGAAAAAGTTGCAAAGCTGTTGTTGGTAATTATGGCTTTGAGCCGTCGTCTACGGTAAGAAGTAATAAGCATTTTGCAGCATTGGGGTAAAATTCAGGCCTCTTCTTTTTTAGAAACCAGTCTTGAGCTGTTTTGGCTATATGTTTGGGGTCATTGTCTATGTTCAAACATCCATCTTCTTAGCTTTCTTCGCCAATGTGATTAATCTCCTCTAATATCACTCCATTCATGTTTCCTTTGATGATGTGTCAGGCTCCAGTACCATTTGCAAAGAAGCAGCACCATATCATGATGCTCCCACCTTCGTACTTCACTGTGGGTTTGGGTTCTTTAGATCATATGTGCAACCCCTCTTTCTCCAGAGATGACTGATTTATTGCTTAATAGTTCTGTTTTTGTTTCTTCTGTCAGAGCACATTGTTCCAGATTCACTCCTATTGGTCTAAATGCTCATGTGCAAATTTTAGGAGCTTTGCACAGGGGAGCAGAGATAATTGCAGTGCTTAATGTTCTCTGTGGAACTGTTGTTCCTGGTGCTTTCAGGTTGTCCTGCAACAATTCTCAATTTTCCTTATCTTTAGTCTGAGAGGACTCTTGCTTGATATGCCTATCCAGGGCCTTTCCATGAACCTTCCAATTGCATATTACTGAACCACTTGTACTGACAGGGATGTTTAAGGTCTTTGCTACAGCTCTGTAGCTTTTTCCATTCAAGTGTTGTTTAATAATGTCCCTGGGAACAACATTGGGAAACTCCTTCACCTTCACTTGCATAAAAAACTTCTTAACCAATGGAAACATCTTTTATAATGACACCAGGTGCAATTTGACCAGGATCATTTTTACTTTTATTTTTTGCAGCATAAGTATGTAGAACTTGAGTTATTTTAGGGTGAGGGGCTCGGCCATCCAGGAGGAGCTCAGAGTAGAGGCGCTACTCCTCCACATTGAGAGGAGCTAGTTGAGGTGGTTCGGACATCTGATCAGGATGCCCACTGGATGACTCCCAGTGGGGGTTTACCAGGCACAGCCCACTGGGACGAAACCCTGAGGTCATCCTAGGACCCGCTGGAGGGATTATATCTCCAAGTTATTTTCATTTTTAACCTTCATATACTTTTATGCTCAGTTTTAAGCAGGGGTGTCACTAGAGATTTACGGAGCGGGGAGCTAAGCCTTAAGGGGGGGCCCTAAGGGGGTCTGGGGGCTTTAGGCCATAAGAGGATGTTTTTAATGGCTTCAAAATATCTGTTCATCATGAACGTTTAGAACTTACTTCTTGATCACTAACCTTCATCAGACTTGCTTCCTCAGCTCTGTCACTCTTCTTCAGGTTCTTTCTCTCTCCTCACACCTGTGATTAGGAACGTTATTTTTATTGAACGCAGATATACAAGAACTCAAGGATAAATAAGTTTGTTTGTTTAATTGAACTGACAAAAATCTAAACACCTGACTAGCCTTAATTGTCATTTACAGGTTAAGAAATTCAAGGATATAAAACTCTTACCATCACCACAACATTAGTATTAGGTATATATAATAAAACCAATCCCCCAGTTTGCACCCGGTTATCACAGTATATTTTAAATTTGGAGACACAATGGCACAGTTTAAAAATGAAGAATAAATGCACAATACTATTGATGATTTGGACTAATAATGTATGTTCATTTAGCGGGCTAAATAATATTCAAAACTGGCCTAACAACACCCCTATTCTCAAGCACAAAGTCAAAAGACAAAACTCAAAGTGGTTATATGCACTGGAAGTGAATTAAATCTCAAAAAAACAAAGTGTCCGAATACTTTTGTTCCATCTATATATGTGTTTGTGTATGTGTCTATTGCAGGATGGGAGCGTTCTATGCCCCCTGTCTGCCCGCTCTGAACCTGCTCCGGCTTCATGTGTCCATGTATCTGCAGTGCTGGGCCGTCATGTGCTGTAATGTCCCTCAGGAGCGTGTCTTCAAAGCCTCCGGCTCCAACAACTTCTACATGGCCATGCTGCTGGTCATCCTGTTCCTGTCCACACTGCCCGCCATCTACACCATCGTCTCCATTCCTCCATCCTTTGATTGCGGACCATTCAGGTACCCTGAGTCGTTGTGAACGTAGCGTTAGGACTTCTAGTGGTGTCCTTGCTCAGGTAGGGACTCAAACACCAGCCTGCTGCAAAGGTATTAACCACTACGCCACATTAACTGCTTCATGATATCAGGTTCTGAGCACCATAATTCTTACATGCCAGTGATGGCTCAGCTGGGTTTTGACCCTAGAACCTTCTGATCTGAAGGTAGATGGCTTAACAGTGACTCACACAGTGAGTCCAGAACAAAAACCCTTTTCCAGATTGCAGTGGTAAGATATTTTATTAGAACAGTGGTCACCAACTCTGCTGCTGAAGATCTACCATAATCAACTCCACCTGATCCATCTTATTACTGCCTTCAGAAGTCCTTGATTAACTGGAAGAGGTGTGTTAGATTTGGGTTGGCGGTGAAACCTACAGGAAGGTAGAGCTCCAGGGGGGTCAGTGACCACTGTATTAGAAACTAAACATGTGCAATTATGAATGAGGTGGATGTGGCTTACTATGTCGTCTGTATCAGGAGTTTAAATACTTTTACATTAGACACACCAGAGGACTTTTTTAGACAAAATAAGTTCTACAGATCTTCTACTTTACCACAAGAGGGCGCCAGAGGCCAATACAAAATTACCTTCACTGCCTCAATGCCTGACCCCAACTATATATCCACTTATGCTAATCTAGGATCATCAGAATTCCCGGTCTTCATGATTATAAGGAAAATAATTTCAGAAATATATTTCACTTATATATAGCTTCCACATTAATAACAACCAAAACAAAAATCCCCAATTTCAACCAGTAGAGCCATGTAACCAAAGCTCCTGTGCTGCTGTTTCAGTGGGAAAAGCCGCATGTTCGATGTGATTCAGGAGACCCTGGAGACGGACTTCCCGGCCTGGTTCGGAAAAGTGTTCAGCTACGCCTCCAACCCTGGCCTGGTCCTGCCCTTTCTACTGCTCATGGTGTGAGTGCCACAAATTTGGCCATCTTTTTGCACTTCAGTAATGAGCAATCAGGAAAATAATCTATGGATATCTTTTCTGTCCTTTCAGTCTGGCGATATATTACCTCCACTCCACATCCAAAACTTACAAACACGCCAACCTGGAGCTGAAAAAGAAACTCCAGACTGTAAGTTGAAAGACAAAGTTTCAGTAAGCATGTCATTAGTTACACTATCCAGAAGAGAGCAGCATCGCTTTAGTCTGTTGTCCAGTATTAAACATAAAAGGTGGGTTTTGTGGACATGGATTAGACCTAATCTTGGACTAAATTGCTCATCACCCTTGGGAATTATGTTTGTGTTTGCCTTAGGAAACCAGCACAAAATGTTCTTTCATCTTTAAAGGTATACATTGACTGAATGAGGTAACTTTGCTGCAGTGATTGTGAGCTTGCAGCCATTAATTGACATGGTGACAGTTTCAATTAAAGAAAATCACACAGACTGACAAACATGAGGCACAGTTTCTGCCTTCACATAACACTGCTGTGTACACTCAGTTGTTCTGTTGTTGCTTTTAATCAGTTTTCTCTCAATGATATTACTTAACAAAGTGAGCTGTCAGATTTACTTCATAAGCATTTGTTTGGTCAATGTAATCTTGTTGAGTAAAACTCAGCATCTTTCCCATTGGCTCCTGGCAACATCATCTATTTGCATATTGTTTTACATCCCCTCTTTGTGTTGTCTTTCCCCTGGCCAACCTTCCATTGTGTGTTCATCTTTGTTATTCTCTATGGTTAACTGTCCTTCAACTTTGTTGTTGGCTGTAAGAGCCAATGGTTACCAATGTAACCTATTGCTAGGTATAAGTCTACAATAGCTCTATAGTAATAACTAAGAAATCATGTAGCTCTAACTTGGGCCTATTAACTTTTTCTATTTATATAATTGTAACCATATTAAATTGAGCACATGTTACTCAATATAGCATCTTGAAAGCTCCTTAACACAATAGCATTGAACCATTTGACATAACATTTTTAATTACAATATATTTGCGTGTAATATATAAAAATAAGTCCACAATTTAGTTTAATAGTTTTACTTGAATTAGTTTATTTACATATTACTCATTTAAGTATCTTAGAAGCTGCTTAACGCAGTTGCATTGTCCCACCTGACATAATATTTTTAAGTAAATCCAACATTTCGTTTTTTTTGTGTGTACACTGTGTTTTTCTGTAAACAGCAAAGCGAGGAGAATAAGAAGAAGAACAAACTGGCAGCGCAGAAGGCAGCTGAAGATCTGGAGCAAGCTAAAAACATGGCTGCCACTGAGCAGCAGGAGAAACAGAGCAATAACAATGCTTCAGTGAAAGGTGATACAAAGAGTGAAGAATTATTTATACTGCTTTTAAGCAACACTTTGGCATAACAATTACATAATAAATTTACACAATATTTTCCCTCCTTATCCCCAAAGTTCATATAGATACAGATATGTATGTAATCTGATATATATATCTGATATACATCTGATAACTCAAATATACAAACTCAATATTAAAAAAGTTGGGGCAGTAGATAAAATAAAAATAAAAACTGAATCAGAGTGTGTTTGCATACACTCAAAAATCCAATCATAATTGGATTTCTGCAGTTATCCGATTATTCAAATGGTCACGTAAACAACATACTCTGATCTAGAAATCAGATTAAGAAATCTGATAAAGAGCTGGATTTTAGCTCAGTAATCAGATTTCTCAGTGCATGTGAACTCTTACTCTGATTTCTTTCAGATTTCTCAGTCTGCGCATGTGTGAAAACAGACTGCTGTACTTGAAAATAAGCAAGGAGTGTTGCCATGAGATGCAGCAAAACACTTTTGGAGAGACACTGAAACCAACTACATGTTTACCGAATTGAAAGATTCAAATATTCTTCATCTTCTAGATGATGTATGTTTATATTAGTAAAGTGGTGCGATGTTTTAAAAAAAAGCCACAGCATGAAGTTTGAGTTTTACGTTACGTTTACGTCACGTCTTCTTCTGTGAGTTTATTGGCTGGTTGCAAAGCAGAAATCTGATTACTGCCTGACTTATGTAGACCCGGAGTTTCCCATCTGATTACCTAAGTGCATGTAAACTCGATCGGATTACTCACAAAATCTGATTTTCTGCATTTATCAGATTATTAAGTGCATGTAAAGGCACTCATTGATTCGTAAATCCACTTTTGACAATGTTTTATCTTACCAACTTCATTGTTTTTTTGTAAATATATGCTCATTCTGAAACTGAAGCCTCCAAAATGGGACAAAAGCAGCTTAAGACTAGAGACATTTCACCTACTGTCCTGTCTTTTTTGGATTTGGGTTTGTATTAGTGTGCTTTGGCTTTATTGTCAGAGTTTTTTTGTGTGTCTATTTTCTTGTAATATCACTAAATGCAGTGAGATACTTGGACAACTGCAAGTTTAACTCATTTTCCACAAGATTTTTAACTAAACTGCACTTTCATGCTATTTTTGGTGCTATAGTAAAATAACTGCCACAGTCTACTTTGACTTTTTTTGCACTAAATAAACAGCTGTAGTGTAAAAGGTTTAAAAGTTATTTATACAACAACAGCAGCCAAATAAGTGCTAGATTGCTGTCAACATCCAGTTAACAGCTTTAACAGCTGACGTTGCTTGAGGTGGAAGGTAGGAAGCTGAGTTTGAGTGAATGCAGCAAGAATTTCCATTACTTGCCAGCAACATTACATCCTCGTCGCTGCAGTTCAAAACAGGCTCATATTTCAGACTCCAAACAAGTCTTGGAATACATTTGGGCTAAAGGGAAAGTATGAAATGTCATTGTTGTGAAGTTGTTATGCTAAATATGCCTTTTCTGTAAATGGAAATGGTGTTAGACAGTAAAATGGATCTAAGCTTATAGCATTATCATGTCTTCCCTCTCTCCAGAAAAAGACAGTAAGAACAGCAGACAGAGTAGTGGTCATCTCTCTCCCGCAGTCCAGGGTTACCACGGCACCCGAGGCTCCACCCCCTCGCATTCTCACACCACTCCTTCCACCAGACCTCCTGCGCCCAGAGCCTACCACACGCCTGGACCCTTACCAGGACATCCCAGACAACCAGGGCCTAGAAAACAGGACAGCTCGCGTTCAAGTAGGAGTTGATCACCACATCTGCTGTTTACAGAGACATGAGAAGAAAGTTATGATAGGATTAGGTCCCTGGTCCTGTGTGCTCCTGGAGATGCAACGTCCTGCAGAGTTTGCATAATTTACCCAAACGTTGTCGATCAGCTTAGACATGTTTGTTGCCTTAACTTTGCTTCTTTTGTTACGATCGCTAACAAGAAATGGAAGCTTATGTAAACCAGTTAGCATGGGGCCTAAATCATCACACATTTGAACTGGATGCAGCAATGTTTTTTCATTTTCTGGACACAGATTAAATGGCACTGCCACTCAGAATTTGCCTCTGAAGACTGTACTTTGGGTTTAGACCCGTAAGTCAGAAGGCGTTTTTGTCCAGGCAGTGCTGTAGCTACTCACTGCCAAGTGAACAACACCATACCTGAGTGTGGTGAGTGAGATTTGGTTACCCTTCTTGCTGAGATACCAACTGTGCAGAATTGGGGTGTATGGGCGGAGCTGTGAGTGGTCAAACACAATTGACTGATCTGAAGACTGCTATTTCTAAAAATCACAAGCTAGCCAGAATCTGCTGGCCAGCTATCTTCGACTCTGCAGACATTCTCTGTGATTTTGTCCTGAACCCGGACACAACCCAAGAACTTCCTGTCCAATCTGACCCGAACCACATCATCAAGTCAACACCCAACCCAAGCCCAACAAAGTTTTGTCCAAACCTAACCCAACCAGAACCAGTCTGAAACTGACCTGAACTGTCCAGCATTACCCAGTGTCCCTAGCCTCACATTTTTAATGATAGTGCTGGTTTAATTACTGTGTAGCAACAATAATTAGATAGCGGATAAATAATATAAAAAAATAGAGATACAGTTGTTTGCAAAACAACGTCGCTTCACTACAGAATTGATACCACTAGAAAGCACAAATGCTCAACGCAGAACACAGCAAAGCAACAGAAGCAGAAAGGAATATATATATAGAACTCCATTTCCAAAAAAGTTGGGACGCTGTGAAAAATTTAAATAAAAATAAAATGCAATGATGGGCAAATCATGTAAATCCTATCAAAGACAAAATATCAAATGTTGAAAATGAGAAATTGTTTTTTGAAAAATATATGCCCATTTTGAATTTGATGCCAACAACACGTTCCAAAAAAGTTTGGTTGGGGGGCAACAAAAGGCTGGTAAAGTTGTGTAATGCTTCAAAAAACACCTGGTGGTTAATTGGCAACAGATCAATAACATGATTGGGTAGAAAAAGAGCATCCCAGAGAGGCTGAGTGTTTCAGAAGTAAAGATGAGGAGGGGTTCACCACTCTGTGAATCACTGCTCGGTGAAATAGTGCAACAATTCAAGAATAACGTTTCTCAACATAAAATAGCAAAGATCTTTTGCTTTTCATCATCTACGGTACACAAAAACATTAAAAGGTTTAGAGAATCTGGAGAAATCTCTGTATGCAAGGGACACGGCCAAAAACCAGTATTTGCTGGCCATGATCTTTGGGCCTTCAGATGGCACTGCATTAAAAATGGACATGATTCTGTAGTGAAAATCACTGCATGGGCTCAGAAACACTTCTGAAAAACACTGTCTGTGAAAACATCACTGCATCCAAACGCAAGTTAAAACTCTAAAATGCAAAGAAGAAACCATATATATACACAATCCAGAAATGCTGCCACCTTCTCTGGGCCTGAGCTCATTTAAAATGGACTGAGGGGAAGTGGAAAAGTGTCCTGTGGTCCGATAAATCAAAATTGGAAATTCTTTTTGGAAATCATGGACACTGTGTCCTCTGGGCTAAAGACCACTCAGCTTGTTATGAGTGCACAGTTCAAAGCCAGTATTTATGAAGGTATAGGGGTGCATTAGTGCACATGGCATGGGTGACTTGCACATCTTGGCACCAGTAATGCTGAACGATATATACAGGTTTGGTCAATATGGCATATGCTACCATCCAGACGACATCTTTTTCAGGGAAGGCCTTGCTTATTTCAGCAAGACAATGTCAAACCATATTCTGCATGTATTACAACAGCATTACTCTGTATTAAAAGGGTGCTGAACTGGCCTGTCTGCAGTCCAGACCTTTGCACATCATTGAATTTTGTTTTTATTTACATTTTGCACAGCATCCCAACTTTTTTGGAAATGGTGTTTATATATATATATATATATATATATATATATCTGATTTCTGTTCTTGCCCAAGTATTATAATTTGGATCCTTTACTACTTCAGTCATAAGCAATAGTTTGAACACGCCTGGTTATACGTTTTGTTGATTTTCTAAGTGAAAATAAGTGTTTTCCTACTAATATGTTAAATTCAGCAAATATACAGTAAATGAGCTTTGAAATGTGCAGACGTTCTCTGCAGAGGATTCACTTCTTTTCTCTTAGAAAATCAACAAAACATGTTATTTGAGCTGAGCCACCCAAACTATATGACTGTATATGCTACTAAATAACCTTAAAAACATAGAACCATGGTTACGGTGAATGGATAAGAACAAGGGACCCTGGATTTGATGGACAAGGAGGTTTTGGGATGGTGCCATGTGTAGAAGAGCTTGAGGAGTCAACCAGCCGACCAGTATTATTATCCTACTTCATTGTTTTCCTCTGATAAATGGAAATCTTATATCAGTGGAGATAAATGGTTGATGCAGTATCTGTTTCGTCCTGTTAATGCTTTTCAGCCATGAACTATGAGGTCATGGGTTTGATTCCCACTGATAATGTCCTTCCATTGCCTTTGTGTCCTTGAGCAAAGCACTTAACCCAAGGCTGTTCCATGTCCCTGTGATTGGTATCAGTACGCTGCTTTGGAAAATAACTGTTGGCTAAAACATAAAACATTCCTGTGACTGCAGAACTTCTACTACTACTACTACTACTAACATTCCTGTGACCAATGCTACATATGCTAATACTACTGATAATAAGAACTGGCACTCTGAGGCCATCACCATGCTTTTTGGTTATTTGCATGTCTTAGCAGGAGTTGGATGTATCATGGCTTTGTAACTGTAGACTGACCAGACTCTTATCTCGGTGAAAGAGAAATGACCTCTCGAGTTACGTAATGTTTTACCTCGAAGGAAAACTGCAACAATAGAGTGATGTTTGTTGTTCATTGTTAATAATATAAGGGACAGAATGTCTGCTAGAGAGGCAAAGCCTGAATGTTCACTGTTTTTTTTATCTATTTTTTTAATTTCTGTATAATTAAATGGTTAAGATGTAAACAAAGTCATTCAGAGTGGTTTGGTGTGAAATGCTCTGTTCTAGAGAAACGTAAA